GCCTTCTTCGGAGCGCGTTCGCCGGGTGAAGGCCACTGTTGCGACTGTTTTTGGTCTGTAGTGTGTACCAGTGAACCCATGTTTCGTCGACGGTCACGAAACGACGCAGAAACTCCTTCGAATTGCGCTTAAACAGCGTCAAACACTGCTCTGAAGTGGTCTCACGGTTGCGCTTGTTGTCCGGAGTGAGCGAACGCGGCACCCATTGCGCCGACAGCTTTCTCATGCCCAACATTTCATGCAGGATATGACCCAAGAGGTTTTTTGAGATGCCTACTGTCTCAGCTATCTCACGCACCTTCAATCGGCGGTCTGCCAATAGCAGATCATGGATTTTTGTCACATTATCCTCCATGGTAGCCGTTTTCAGGGCAGCTGAGCGTGACTCATCAAAAACCGACGTGCGACCATGTTGAAACTTGTTAAACCAATTTTTGACGGTCGCCATCGAAGGAGAAGAGTCACCGTACACAGCATCCAAGCGCTCTTTGATTTCACTGCACGATTTCCCTTCCAAAAACAAGAATTGAATCACCGACCGATATTGCTCTTTTTCCATTTCTCTAAAATTCGCGGACACGCCCGCTTCCCCATGCGGTCAAAACAAAACTATGAGTTCGATTTGGTTGAAATTTCGATAGTAGCTGTCTACGAGAATGTACTACACGATAGTAAATTTTTCTTGCGATAGTGGCGTCATATTGGGCGGTGAGGCTAAGTACTCATCGGACCGTCCTCGTACGTGTATGTCGTCTGCACTGTACATCCGTAGATCTCGGCGGACCCTACATGGATGAATAACCGTTGCAATATTTTGATTACTTAACCGAATATGGTAACTAACTTTTTAATGAACGGTTTAATGGGCCATGTTGCAATTGCAGCTTTAAATGGAGCCATTATTAAAGACCAACCCATTTTAGAAAGTTGGCGAACAAACAACGAGCCTTGAGATATTCATCGCTAAAATTTTGCCCTTCTTCGCTTGATTAAAAAACCGCGCGCTGAAAGCGCGATTGAGGTTGTGCTGATATTGATGCGTAGAAGAACGACACAGTTGTTTCTGTCCCTTCGTCACTAACTCGACAGCGTGTCTTCGGTGGACTCGCCAGCGCCACACATCAAGACGACGAAGTCACTATTCTACGTATTATTTTCATAACGCGGTTTCTGAATCAAGCGAAGAAAGGTAAACTTTAACGATAAATTTCGCGAACCTCGTTGCCTTTTCGCGAATTGACGAAATTGTGTTGGCCTTTAATAATGACTCCTTTTAAAACTGCAATTGCTCCATGGCCAATTAAGCCGTTAATAAACAAGTTAACTAACAGATTTTAGTTAATCATTAAACATTGCAACGGTTATTCACCCATTGTCCGCCGAGCCCTACAGATATAACGAAAGACGGCATCCACATATCTGCTACATCCTTTTTTATAAGATATGTAAAGTCCCGTAAAGAATAAAACAAAAACACCCTGTGTGTCTGCGTGAACTAAAGTCCCTCGATGTTTTTTCACCAAAAAATATCCAGGGACGTTAGCGTGAACCAGATACGTACGTCCCCTGTGGAACCATGGGTCTTCTTTCCCTTCAAACACCCAGCTCAGGCGAGACTTACCTGGTTGACAGAAAGCAGCTGTCGGTTAAATGTATTGTTATGAGCCTGTGGGTCTCAAATAGTTTACCCTCAAGAGGATAATGCGCTGCATGTTTTAACCATGTATGCGCTGCACACTGTAACCGCTATTTCAATGCCGTGCTGTGAACTATTACAACTTTTTCCTTGCCTGATCTACGTGTGCTCATGTTTTCTGCTCAAAATGATGTGAAATAGTTGCTTGTTTTCTTTGAATCTTATAAAGCATTACTTGTTCAGCCCACGTGTTGTCTCAGTTTTTGGACTTAAGTTCAATGTTAAAACGCGTGATAAAAATTGTCACGGCTTATTAGCCAAGTGAACGTCGGGTGGTCCTCGGATGGTCGTGGCAGCCATGAAGAAATAAAAGATTCTCACCCCTTTGCGACCGTCGCTTGGGTGGTTCGTCGCTTAAACACAAGAATGAGTGACAAGTGAAGCGAGCTGATTAAGGTCATGAAAAAGAAGACGGGCAGAAACGAAGGCACAAAAGTTAACCTGGGGTATTAAAAGCATGCTAAAACAGTCTCGGACTTTAGTATGTGCCGTTTCGTTCCATTATAAAATAAGAAAAAAAAAGAAAAAAAGAAAAACTGCTTTTGAGTTTTAGATATCCCTTTCAAATAACTAATGTTCGGCATTTGCGATCAAGGAAAGGGGCATTTCATTTAAAATGCTCACCATCCGACAAACCGAAAGTCGCAGCTAATTCTACGCTGAAACAACTTGCAATCCGCTTCTTTAAAGTCGCAATTGTTTTTGTAAAGGAAGGGTAATGTAACTTGTACCGTCCAATACATTGAAGCATCATGTTGCTAACGATCGTGCCGCAGCATAATTGATGCCGCGGTACGACCGCTGGCAGGTCGTACCTGTATCAGAAATCCTATGTGCACTCAACTAAAGCGGCACCAAAGATTCATACTTTCGCGCGTGCAGCCGCGCATGCGCACATCATTTGGATAACGCGCCGGTGTCGACATCACGCGACACCCTAGTGAAGTTAGTGAACCCGAACCTAAAGCGAACGGATAAAAAATTGGGTTCGACACTGTGGTTTGAATAAGGAGGGGTTTAAGAGGGCGCGGTACCTCTATTTATTCGTCCGTCTCAGCCACCAGATGGCGCGCGGCTCGTAACGTGGTTGAACGCGCGACTTCTAGATGGCGCCAGTATCGAAGTGTGAAAAGGCCCGCGTTATCCGCTGCGTGAAATAGATCCCCAAATGTGTTGTGTTCTCCCGGCGGAGGAAGTTTCTCCCTCCCTCGCGCGCGCTTGGTATGTCTGCGGTCAGTCAGCTCAGAGTGCATAGCATCGGACGTCAGTGGTAATACGCGCGGTGGCCGAGTCCGGCCTCTGCGCTGTGTGATGCAGTGGGTGGCGCTCGTTTCTGTTCGGAGGTAGGAATAAAAATGTCGGTCCCCTTTTTTACGACGCTCGTTTCTATAGCTTGAGTTCTTTTTTTTTTTTTTTGAGTGATTTACAGTACCGCCTCTTGGAAATCGTCCTTTGCGGTGAGCGATTGAGAGTCAGGTTAGCATTTTATTTTGGTCAGCACTACACGTTCAATGGAGACCTCGGGCGGCGATGTAAATATGCATTGCTCTCCAAAGTGTGTCCAAGGTGCGCAATGGGTATTGAAGGCGCGCGACCGTCGGTTGGTAAAATACGTGCGTTAGATTCACTTATTCAGTTTAATCATTTTTGCCAACGTCTTTCATCTGTTTCAACAAATGACATGGTCGAGTCTATTGATAACCTTAGCTAGATTGGACGTACGGAGTGTCCGGGCTTTAAATAAATTTGCTTCGTTTATGTGAATGAATAACTGTTTTCTCTTTTCCGTGCTCGGTGCTATGCAAAAATCGCTCAGATGTTATGGTAGCGCAGTGTGGCGGCGTTTTGCACGCTGACTCGCTATTGCATTTGCTCTGCACAATATGTGTTCTGATGGAATGTGCCGAATCGTATTTCCGATCGATATGATAGATTTACTTTGCTACAGTGTTAATTATATTTTCCTGATTTAAACTGGTTCGTCCCTGATCTGAGCCTAGTTCAAATGCGAAGGTGCAGACAGACTTAGCGTCGTAACAGCCGTAATGCGCAGAAAGAAATTAGTACCATGAAAGAAAAACAAAAGGATACGAGGTGGCTCGGTGTTATAGAAGTAATGAGTGTGCAAAAGATGCCATCGCACGTGTTTTTTTTTTTTTTTTGTTTTTTTTCTAACTCTCCGCATCGCTGGGAAACGCTCAAGGTACCAGCAAAGACAGCGAGCTGGCGTGAAATTTCCATCGAGCGGAAAACGAGTGTCACTTTTATTTCATCATGCGCTTTCATTTTGACGTGGCTCAAAATGGGCGCGAAATAGTAACAGGTAAGGCAACAAAATTTAGATGTAACGTTTGGAGCACCGCCATACTCAGCCGTGTTGGGGGCATTTCTCGCGAGTCAATACGGCAAAGGTATTGCGCGTCGAACTGTACGTGAAATTTATCCATTTCAGGGAAACCTTGATTTCGCAAAACTATTGTGGCTCGATTCCTGGCTTCCAGTATTTAGAAGCCACGAGCGAGAAATAAATGACAGTTGATTTCGAAGGACAATCGCGACGTGGAAACCCATAAAAGAGAGTCCCAATAAGACGAGAGCTTCCCCTTCTCTTCAAGTGCCTGGGTTACGCCCTCATTCCTGCACCTGCGGTAACACTGCAGGCTCCTAAAATCGCTTTGAAAACGTTCCTGATCGCAACAAGTTTTTTCTTTTTGTCGAGGTGCTATTTCATTTTTTTTTTTTCGTCTACCTTGATACCCCATCAGCGCAAAAAATACCATAAACTAAAAAAAAAAAAAAAAATAGTGGGCATACAACGACAACGCACCCACTGGGACCCGAGTCAAGGCAAGAACAACTAACTACTAAAAGGGGAAAAAAATCATGTTCGCATACGGTTGTAGCACGATTCTCCCGGTGGCAGTTCCCCCGTTCCAAATGCCCCGTGCCATTTCCCCCGAGTGTCAAGATCCCCGTTGTCAAATTCCCCGTCTTGCCTGCCCCGAGTGCCGGCACCCCCGTATCCAATTCCCCCATATTGTAACTTTTGTGTGCCTCTCTATCCAATGGCAATCAGTTGATCGAAGGACGTTTCATCGACATATCGTTTCATCAAAAGTTTATTACACCGACAGCTCGAATTAGCTTCCTTTTGTAATAAGTCGCCTGTGTCTGTCGCCGCGAGGCGGCGTGGACGGGTGGTCCGCCTGGATTAACATGGGTCCCTGTGATGCACGTGCGACGAAGCTAGTTTTTTCACGAAACATGGTGTCGATGAAACGAGTGTCGATGAAACGATACGGACGCCCGTTGATCACCTCCGATGTTCTTTGAAACCAACGCACACTGTTATTCCGTGATCCTGTGTCAGTTCAGTGCTCGACAATATTGAAAATGATGGCAGATTTATTAACATGTTAATGTATACAGTCTTGTTGAAGCAATGTCCACTACTTAGATACCGCAATATCGCTGCACGAGCCTCAGAAACTCTTGAATGTTGAGCTCTCCATTGGACAGACGCTGCTCGAGCTTCCTGATGGCTGCGTCCTTCATTTCCCACTTCTTTTGTCGCTTTCGGGCTTGGCCGCCGTTGGATACCTGGAGGAGGGTGACTCTGCTAGTGGCCTCGTCCCGCTTGATGTGCTCCACGAAAGTGTAGACATTGGGGTGCGCTTTCCCGATGGCGTTGTTAATTTTTCTGTAAATAAAAAGCACAAGGATTACAACTCCTGGTAAATAAGCATTCTGATTTTTCGATAGCAAATTTATACCATACTGAAAAATGAACTGACCGGTGCCAGGCCTCCTTTAGGTTGTTTGTCCGGGCTCCGCTGTTTTGGTGGTGGTTCCACTGCTGGGTGTCGTAGTTTCCTAAGAGCCAAGTATCCTCGAAGTACAGGATAAGTTGTGGGACTCCAAGGGCTGGTGGTGCAGTTGCCTTCAAACCCCGCCAAGCAATACGTACGAACGCTGGCGGGACAAAGGCCAAACTGATTGTCTGGCGTACAAACATCGTTACCGAAGAATCTTCCTGGTAAGCCTTGGCAAGTCCGAGTTCTTGAACCTTCCTCCAGATTGCTTGAGCGAAGTGAAAATGGCAACCCTGGTGCCGGATTCCAGGAAAAACGAAAAGAAAAGCCTGGATAAGGGCCAGTTCAAAGTGCGTACGGACAACGCTGAGTGACAGAGGTGCACGAAGAGCGTCCAACGCCGTCTTGAAGTTCGTGAAGGCCGACACATATACTTCTCGAGACTTCCCAGGTAGAAGAAAGTAGGCGACGTTGAAGCTCAAACCCTCTTTGACGGCGCTTATTGTGACTAGTTGATAAAACAATGACGGGCAGGAGAAAAACGTGCCATCGATGAACACTTCAACCATTTCCGAAAAATGAGAAAGCAGCTCCTGCGTGCAGAAGCAAAGAACACGGCCTGCACTTATGCTGACGTCGAACAGCAGGAAGTCTCGCTTGTCGAGTGTCTCCGTATGTAGTCTTCCAAGGTTAATCTCGGCCATGTCCCTTGGTAGGCTCGGTTGCTGCTTTCTCTTCTCCCTGTACATGGTGCTCCTCACGCTCTCAAAAGTCGGCAGCTCAGCCATCACCGTGTCGTCAACCTAGAACAAATTGGTCCCGTCACAAACAAGGTTCAATCGCGGACACCATGAACATGTATACGCGTGTAATAAAACATAGTATGTAAAGACGAGACAATGTTTTTGCTTACTTGACCCACAAGGCTCAAGATCTCTCTGCTGTACACCTGCGGTGCTGGCAAATGCGGCTCCGACCTAACCCTTTGCTTCAATGCGTTCTTCAGTCGCGCTTCCCGAAGTTGGCTGCTATCAGGTGGATGGTTGTGCTCTGAAACACATCGACGTGATGATGATGTAACGCCGCAGCAGATTTTAGCCTCATTCATTCAGTGCCCTTCAAGTTGAACAGCAATCTGAGAGTTTGCGAAAGTAAAAAAAGAAAGTCGTTAGCTCACCTTGTGTTGTCTTGACGACTTTTCCGTGCTTCGTGAAAACTGCTGCTTTGCAGTTATTTGTCCAGTATTTAGCACATCTCCAGGCAGTTTTCTCATCTAGGTTCTTCCGCTGAAAGCAATACTTAAATTCGTCTAGTATTAAGGCCTCTTTCCCTTTTTCCGTTTTCAAAAATTCGACCTCCATCTCCTGCATCTCAACCTCGTCTGGGAAGCATCCAATGTTGAAAGTCCCTTAATTAAATAGAACTCACCTGGGTCGCGTTCGAGGTTTCTTTGTTCTTGTTGACCCTCGGTATGCACTTTTTCTTTCGTCCCGTAACGAGAATTGGGGGCAGAGGACGGGGGGAACTGATAAGGGGATGGGGGCACGGGGTGTTTGGAACCCGGGGGAAATGAGGTCAGGAAAGATAACGCGGGGAATTTGCTGCGGGGATATTGACACGGGGGAATCGGGATTGGGTTATTTCGTGCACCACCCTTCGCGTACACAGACAGAACGCCTCCATGGAAAGAAATGAATCATGCGCTTGTTCTGCCAGTCTCGTTGTGCGTCTGTCAAAAGCCACAAAGGAGGACCCGCCCCCCCCCCCCCCCCCCAACCCTAAAAAGAAGAAACGAAAGGTTTTTTGGGCGCGCGCGCGGTCGCCCAAGCGATGACCACAGGACGTCACTTCCGTTGCCCTCCAAAGAAGAGGGGAAGAAGGAGCTCCCCTCTTATCAGGATCCTCCTTTGTGCCTCCCGGATATGTACAGGCGTCGCTATTCTCCCCCCAGAAGATTATAGAAGATTAACCCGTCACTCAAAATTCTTACAAAAGCAGCTTCCCTCTCCTCCTCTTACTTGGTGTTCAAAAGTGTGCGATGTGACGTCAGTGCAAGAAGCCTATGCGATTGTAGCACGTTTGCCCCTGTCTCAAATGCCACGGTCCGTTTCTCCCAAGTGCCCGTCTTATCTTCCCGAGTATCAACTCCGCAGTGATTCTGAATCATTCCGATGCTTTCCAACGTTGCAAAACTGTTAGACGAATATTTGCAGAACTATCTACGGAGCTAAAATTCAAAAGCGCCGTGTTGGATTGGGTAACTCGTGTAGGTTTAGCTCATTGTTGGAACATTCTTATTCGCTCGATGAACTCCACAAAACGTGTAAATATTAGAATGAACTTTTTAGAAAGCGATAGTTGTTGTCAGGGTTCCAGGCGACCGGACAGGTCGAAATTATTGGTTGATTAAAAATTTTATTTCATAATCACAATCGTATCATCAAGGGCACGCCATTTCCTCATCACTTCTACGAAAAGAGTTGCTGTATTCGTAGCACACACAGACGGAAACGGTTGAGACTGTGCCCAAATAATATCTTTTGGCAGGTACTGCGCAGCGATTACACACAATACCTCTAACATAAACATGCTGCTCCACATGTGTATTCACAAGATGCAATACATCGTTCTCCCAACTTTGTTGAAATGGGCATGAAAGCGCGTAACCGTCACTTTTTTGAAGTTCTACTTAGAGGTGAAGTATTTACTGTAAAAAGTCGTTAATTATTTATTTTTTTCCGTTCCACTACAAAGCTCGATTCACCTAAATTTTTGTTTTTATGTCGTCTCTACAGCGCTTTTACGTCGGTACTTTCGTGTTAAAGGACATCACATAATGTGCGAAAAAAAAAAAAAAACTGGTAGGATCGATGTTGCATAGCCTCTTTTTTTGTGGACATCAAGAGAAAAAAAAAAAAAAAGATAGTAGTTGTCTTTATTTCGCACTGCATGTTTTAGCGCGGAAGTTCCTATTTGGTTATGATGTCTTTACTTTCTTAAAAATTGTATACAGTAATTTAAATTACCGAATTACAAAAACGTCGAAATTGTATAATTGGTTTTCGTTGGGACGCCATGACGACAGCGACACTCGTGTTCGCTCGAGGTTTTCGCCAGCATTTCTACGATGAATTGCCAGGATCGCGAGATGCAACAGCGTCACACTCCGTCTTCTGTGACGTCATTTGTTGCACTTCGGGACCACTATTGATGTATGGCCAGCATAAGACGCTAAACACACCAGTCGGAGACGCGCTCCAGGCGTTATAGTACTGCTCCTAAAAGTAGCTGTCACGTGCTTTGCTCCGCGACTGTGATTCCCTTACAGCAGCTCTGACTGAGGGTTGCCAAATTACGGTGAAACGGAGTATAGACAAAACAGACAGGAAACGAGCTGCCAGCATACGTTAGTCAAACTCCAACAAAAAGGAAGTTTCTTCCCAAGCTGGACGACATTTACCGGGCATCTTTAGAGCTACGAAGCTCAAAATGACGCGTACTCATAAGATTTTTTTCTCTCGCGTGTTTGTGATTTTCTAATGTCCTGCAAGCAAAAAAAGAATATATGGCGAAGTCACTCCGAGGGGATGCCGATAACTGCGAGCCACGAACATGAAGGATTCGCTAACATCCGTCAGGAGTGTGAACGGTAAATCGTCACGCAAACATATTCTCACAAGCTGCAAATATTTATTTGGCTTAGCAAGTAGAATACTAGTATACTAACGACATGTGATTATTGTACACAAGATACAATTTCTCGGTTCTTCAAAACCATTTCCCTAGTCTGAACGGTCGCGCTACGGGCCGCGGCTAGCCGTGCCCTCGATAGACTATGGAGCTGCGTTGTGTCGTCTGCTACTGTACCGCCAACAGGAGAGCGATAGCTCTGTGTGCTCCACAGATGCGTGTTGCGGTATAACTCTGTACGTCTGTCCTAGAAGAAGACAAAAAGATAGGCTCTGTGACCCCCTCCTAAGCTAACAAAAACAAACAGAAGTATACTCGTTTGGACTGAAAGGTTAATTTACAAAATAGTGACCAGACATTGGAAAAGCATATGTCACAGAACTTGGTTTATGAAATGGCATCATTGTTTCGAGCAAGAAATCACCTGCTCACCACTGGGACGACGAAATCGTCACTATTTATTGCGTCAGGTGTATTTGCGCTCATGAAGAAAAATCTGAACACATCCTTCTCCCCAAAGTCCTATGTCGAATAATAAACACTTTTTTAAACATCTATGCACAAATAACTCATTTATTTCTACACTTGTATATACACGTTAATTAAACGACGTCAAACCGCATTTGTGATTAGATCTTGATGTCTACACCAACTACATTCATATTTTTAGGGCTTTATTGAACGATAACTTCAACAATAGTTAATGGAACACGATGGCATGATCTCACCAAAAACCTCAACGTGCGAAGCTTCCACAGACGGCCGCTTGCGAGTATTCTCAATGTGAGACTTCAGAAGCTTTCGCTTGCCATAGGGAGCTTGCTTTCGACTACAGCACTGCACGGGCCCGGGAAGCGCGGAGCGCGCTGCTGTGGGGAGAGGTTGACTTACAAGATGACGTGTTACGTGATCATGTAAGATGGCGTCATTTCGTGCAGCTTGATCACCTAAGATGACGTCATTTCGTGTAACGAGATCATGTAAGGTGACGTGTTTGTGTCACGTGATCACGTAAGATGACGTCAGTTCGTATGAACTGACGTCATCTTACGACAACGCCAACATTAGTGCCGTCCGGAACCATTGACCTTAGAAACGCACCTCTTCGCTTGAAGAACTGATATGCGTTGATTGTTATTTGTTTCTTTTGCCTACTACAGACCATTCAAAAACTCGCCTTCTGGGTGCCACCAACTTCGTCTACTGGGCTGTGAAGCGTGTTCGAGCGTGCGCAATACCTATCTAGGCCGAAAGATTGTACACTGAGTATGCTTTCACAGCTCACTGACTTAGGCATTTTTCGTTAGGATAGATGCTCCCACGAGAAGAGCGTATGAGATATGTGAAGAAAATTGGAAATTTGAAATGTTCTTGTCCAATCGCATTTTTCTTTGGTTATCGACACTTTTTAGCGTCATCACAAGACGTTCAACCCATAATACATACACTAGTGATTAAAAAATAAGCACCGAAAAACATGCACCGATTTTCGCTCAAAAATAAACACTGGAAAAAACATACCGTAATCATTACCCATGTCACCTTTTTGGGTGATATGTGAATTTCCAGAAGAACAGCGAGTTATCACCCTCCCCTAGGAATACCCTGACTACAGAGCGGGCGACCCGTTTTTCCCCGCGTTAGATTGCGCGGACCACGAACCGTACGGAGGTCACAGGACGTCCGTGAAAAATAAAAAGGAGGCAAAGAACGATCTACTCTGTGCACGCTTCTTCCCCGATTTCCACGACCCCAAGGCCGAAGGACGTTTGTGTGAAGGATAACAATAAAATAAAACTTTGCGTCAAAAAAAAAAGCCCGTTTAAAAAAAAAAAAAGTAGAAACAAGCACAACGCGTTGACGGACCGCGTGGTTGTGGAACACGTCGCGGTCCGCTTGCCACAGGACGGTTGCCTTCGACCCATAGCTCCAAGGTGAATTTTCCGCTTGCGAAAACACGGAGACCTACCCACCGAGAACCAGGAAAACAAGACACGCACACTGACGCCTCGGCGTGCAGAGTGAAACAGGATACGGGCGCGGAATACGGCCGCGGAAGAACACCTCACACAGTGCCGATCCGGCCGATCTCCGAACGAACGATTTCGCATTTCGTGGACAGCGAGCGCCACCGCACGGGAGTGAGAGGTACCTTAAAAGCGACGAAAACAAGCACCGACACCTTGGTTCTTTATATTTGCTGTAGTTACGGAACAAATCGACTTACATGAATAATTTGAATATTATTCGATTCCGTAATAAATTTAGAAGGCATTAAGCGCAATACTTCTTATGTTTGAATTTAGATAATTTTGTAAATTCGCTCCGAACGCAAGAGTGCCGAATTAGCCGATTTTGACCATTTTCATGATTTTTTTAAGAATATAATTAAATTTATAATGAAACATTTGTTGTGCTTAGTGTCTCGATAATGACTCAATATCTTTAAAGCCGAAATTTTCAAGAAGATCCGCGCAGCCGTTATTATGTGAGAATGTTTTTAGGTTGGTGAAAAACCTCATGTATTCTCTATAGGAACCGTGCGGATCTAATTCAAGCCCCGACCAGGGCGCCCCTAGCGGCAAACGGGTCCGTTGCATCGGGCATCTTCTGCCAGTCGCTGCATTGGTTCTGCGTTGTAGTGGGTTAGCGCTGTAATTTCTGAGATGGCTATTCCGCA